CATTACTCCAGTGACAGCCCTTCAACAGGTCACAACTAAACACAATTGGTGAACCAGTGCATCAGCATCGCTGTGCGCACAACCTCAAGCCATCAACGTTGTGTTCGGCTGCTGCATTGTCACGGTACACGTGCAAAGAAGTTTACCACACACCTTCAGAGACTACCACTATTGTCCGTGGAACAAAATGAAACTGACTCAAAACGAACCCCTTGGTCACCTTTCCAGCCCGGTTCTACGCCAGGCGAACGCCCAAGCATCCCACCTGCTTCGTAAAGATAACCTGCCGCTATTGTCATCGCTTATACGGATGCCAGTGTGAGCGGCACCACCATTCATACCACGCTTGTATGTCCATTAATACCTGACGCTGACCAGACATGCTCATACTTTGCGGATCCTGCACAACCGTCTCACCTTGCTGAGCTGGCCGCCATACGTTATGAACTGGCAGCGGTGCTAACTCTTTTACAAACCAGGCAAATGCTCCCAGCTTATCATTCTTACGAACTCCACGCAAGCTATTCACGAAATACGATGAGTTTATCGCTGTACGTTCCTCTCGGATACTATTCACATTATTGCTGCCTTCGCATATGTGCAAAGACATGTTCAGTGGGTTCCATGGGCCGCTTTGCCGGACCTTGTTAAAGCTGATTTTACAACCCACCCTCAAGTTACACCATACCCGATAGCTTGTTTTCCTGAGGACGCGTAAGTACAGATGCTGCGGAAAAAAGAAAGTCTCTGACGTGCCACACGAGCTCCTATACCTCCGCGTGTATCAGACCTCCCTGGTGGTTTAACCCACCGAGAGGAGATTACGTTGTGGAGGCTTCGTGTTGAGGCGGCGCTTACCCCATTCGTAACCACCCTTTCGGCGCAAAAGTGTCGAGGCTCGTGTGGCACATCATGTCCACTTTTGACGCCCCAATCCAATATGTAACTGCCTCACTCTTACTATGGACTTGCACTGCCCTACAACTGAGTCGACCCTGTAACCTCCATGCAACAGGTCTCAGTCCTGGCCTATTACCCAACTTTCACCGCTGGCTTCATAGACCACACCACCGTTCCCTACTAGACTTCATAAATGAAGAAAACTTGTAGGTGCATTTTTGAAAAATTATTATGCCTAGGGGCAGATTTAGGTACTTAAAAAATTGAAGAATGCATAAGCTATGTCATAATTTTATTGTATCAATTGGCTGATGCCTAACGACCATTACACTGACCTACCTTGTTCTCATTGATAAGGTTTTAACTAAAATGCAATTATCTCGGCTAAAAAGAGCAAGTGCTAGATCAGTATGGAGGTATTAAACGTAATCCTGATTAGCAGGGTACTAATTCTTCCCATATTAGTAAGGGCTACTTGGTTTTCCTTAGCGTGCTCATGAATAAGGTCTCGCTAATTTGCGTAGTTTAGTTAGCTCATCAACTAGCATGCTTTAGTTAGCCCGGTTCAAGCTTTCCATACCCTCAATAGAATGGTTTTCTTAAGATGTAACGTAATTACCTCAGCCTTACCATGACTTGGCGCAATTAGCTCGTTGACAGCATGTCCTGCTCTAAGGGGCTAAGTATATCATCTAGCCAAAAAAGAATCACAGTATATAAATGGGAGCAATGATGATGAGTGGGACGAATCTTCGGGAGGTTTTATTGGTGAAATGTGAATTCTCTGTTTGTCCGTCTCTCTGCCCTTCTGTCCGTCCATCCGTCTATTAGTCTGTCCGTTCTTCAGTCTGTTCGTCTGTCATCCGTCCCTTCATCAGGCCGTCCATCTGTCTGTCTGTCTGTCTGTCTGTCTGTCTGTCTGTCTGTCTGTCTGTCTGTCTGTCTGTCTGTCTGTTTTTCTCTTCATCTCTCCATCCGCACCTGCTTAGGGAGCCATCGAACTAGGTGGTCACATACTACGAGCTAGGAGGGACCGACCCACAGCTTTAGGAGCATCGCCCTTAATAGCTAATTAGCCGGCCGCACGTACTCAGGGTGCTAGCGGGCTATGACAACAAAGACAACGCGCACCAGACAATCAACGCGCTATGATGTACACGCTCACCATGGTGATTAACACATCTCCTTGGGTTTAACTGCGGTCGTGATGTTGTGAGAGACTCGACCGGGGCTTATCTCAGAGGTCACCCTGCTGATTATTCTAAAACAGACTTAGTGCAGGCATTAAAAGCTGCAAAATAAATATAAGCACCACGCTTCTCTGAAAAAGATTATCACTAAATGTTTCTCACCCTTCTATTGCATCGTTTTGCTTCTGCACTCAGTGGAATGACGAACATATGAAAGAACATGCCTCTGGTCAGTGATGTCTTGTGCAGAAAATTTTTCCTTTTTCGAGGAATTTCCACCCCTTATTTTGAGCCAAAGAGAAAAATTGAATCTTTGTAATATTGCAGGTTATATGAATTAATAAAGTTATGCTTTTGTTGCACGGCAGTGGAGGGGTCAGTCATAATTTCACAAGTCACCAATACGTCTGACACGTGTAAATATAGTATGTGCGTCCATGGATGGTGGCGGGAATCAGTACTGTTTTGCTGGAAAAAATGCTCAGAATTTTGTGAACGTTTTCTGGGAAAACCTCCAAAATAAAAAATTTCCATGTCTCTGAATGGGAAGTTTTCGGCGTAGTGCGGAACATCACTGCAACTTGTTTGACAAAACCTCTCAACTTAGTGAACCATCCGTGATGCGATGACCGTTTCCATCGTAACCAATAAACACAGCCCGCTTAGAGATGAACTTGACTTTTTCTTGCTGTTGGGTCCTTCAAAAGGAAGTTTCGCCAGAGCTCGGGAAAACACCAAGTTTTGGGAAACTCAGGCAAAACTCGGCCGATTCTGCATAGCACCCCGGAAACCATTGTAGCTTAGAGCCTGTTTTAAGCACATTCAACGAATTCCAAAGACCTATTACGAACCTTCGACGTCTCTGTTTTCTTTCGAATCCTTTTGTCGAATTGTTTTCTCGCAGTTCAGGGCGGCAAACTGCGCACTCACCTGTTCAACCACTCCACTTTTCTTCTGCGCTTCTGTACCTCTGCCATCTAAGGAAGCCTTGCACCAGGGGTGTAGCCTTAATATTGTTTTTCTAAAGGAAGTACGCATGTTCACGCGCACATTTTAAATGCTAAACATTTCTTTGCGAACTTTGACGACTTTGAGCGTATCTATCTATATATCTATCTATCTATCTATCTATTTATCTATCTATCTATCTATCTATCTATCTATCTATCTATCTAGCTGATTACGTTTGGGTGCTCTCATGGTCAGCCTCATGTCTATAGCATGAACGAAAATTAGCATGGGAGGGTAAGATGGTTTGCGAATATAACGCGCTGGTCAATACTTGAATAATGTCACAATCTCGTCGCGTACGTCGTCAAACACTTCCCGCTAGAAAGTGGCACATACCCATGGGCGGGTATGTGCCACTGGTATGCGTATATGTGCCACAGGCAATCGTCATTTACTATCTAGCCAGGAAGGACGAGAACACAAATGGGCAATTTTAACGCTCGAGCATTAAAAATACCCGACATCAATATCGTAAACCCGATGAATGCCAATAATAAATCTCAGGGTCCCAGCTGGAATCAAACCAAAGCATTCTGCGTGGCAATGAGCATTTTAGCTCAGAGATATGCCAGGTCTGGTAACTACTTTTCGAACAGACGGTAATCTTCGTGAAAGGTCAATGGTGGTAGCAGTGATGCCTACCCAATTTTGCGAACATTACATATGTGTTCCTTTGATACAGGCGTCACGTCGGGTTAACGTCAATTGTGGTTAGTTGTCATGTGCTGAACTTGATTCATGTAGCAGTGTTGAGGGCCAGCATCCTCGCGAGCACCGGCGCTTCATATCAGCTTCTGGTGTTGCTAACACGCATATTTCAGTTGGCACCGTTGCTCATGTGTGAAAAACTACTTATATAAACATCTGCCACTCTTCAACATATGTCAGTGCGTGCAACATTTGTACATATATTTAGCGTAATTTCATGCTGTGTCACTCAATAAAAAAGTACAACAGTCTCCTTCCCTCCACATGTTTCGCACAAGGTCGATTCCCAGGTACGTGGGATCTGCCGAATTTTTTTCTGGGGCGCTGTATATATACGCAAGCTAGAGTAAAAAAAAAAAGCCTCGAGAGGGGAAGCTTGAGCTCCTCAACACCTCCCCCCCCCCCCCACCATAGATACGCCCATTTCTTGCGCTTCAAGAAGGTTTTGCCGAATTGGCATGGGAGTGCATGGTGAAACAGTTCGAGTTACGTTTCTTCCCTTAACATTGGAAATAGCTTTTAAAGAAGCTGAGCTGCGCTTTTAAACACGGAGCATTCTTTTGTCGCGCGATGTCGCACTTCGGTGTCGTGGTCCCGTCCATAGCCTTACTGTGCCTGGCCGCCTGCGCGCGTGTCGTGCCGGACCAGGAAGACACCCCTAAAACTGTCACTCCCCTCTCTCGCCTCGCAGTGCCGAAGCAGGTAGCGTCTGCTACAAAAAAGAAAAGGAAAACTAACAAATACTCACGCTGCACAACCACTCACTGGCTTAGCCCATATATGTAGGAAATGGACCACGCGTTAGGAATTAGTCAAGGGCGTCTTGGCTTTCGCTTGACGTTGAAGGCAAAGCTTCACCTTCATTCAATGAGTAAAAATAAGGAAGATGAAACAACAAATACACATTCCCAAACCAAACCCCATTACGCAACAATCATGTGATACACCCACCACTCTACGACGCATTTACTCGAATACCACCCCCCCCCCCCCACTGAGAGGAGATGCGGGCGGCATTTTTTTTTGTTCTTGTATTTGGTTGTTTTTTTGTGAGCTAAGTTTTTTATTCACAAATTGCTTACATACTTTACTTTCATTAAATGCTATCTGCCATTGGAGAAAAATAGCTTTTTCAAAAACAGCTAACAATTTTCACGAATCTCGCATGTCTTCCGCTTCTCTTTTTTTCAGAGTGGGACGCAATGGGACATCTTTCAGGCCAAAAGTTTTCAACCTACGATCGTGACAACAGTCTCTATAGGCTCAACTGTGCGGTGCGGTTTCGAGGAGGCTGGTGGTACAGTAATTGTCTCGGTGGTAACCTAAACGGGCTGAATCTTAATGGCCATCACGATAGCCTGGGTGATGGTATTGTGTGGGAAAAGAGCCCTATGATTACTTATATGTTGCACCACTCTTACCCAAAGGTTCAAATGATGATACGACCAGCAGATAGGTAGTGGACTAAACTTTGTTAGGTGGTATTGAAAGATGCGCGTGGTTTGATTGATTCAATACATGTGTCCAAGAAGAACCGGCACTCGCACCACACGCTATCATTTTGCACCTTAAGAATCAAGGTCATTATTTTTGTTCCAACAGAATAAGTGTCTGTAGTTTGTACCATATGAACACACAATAAATCCTGTTCTAGCAATATATTTCTCTATTTGTTTGTTTGAACAAAATAATCCCCACAATGTTGAACCTATCAATATTTGCGTGGTCTTTATAAAAGGAGCGTATTTTTGTGAAGATTTCGACTTGCCGAACTTTAGTTGGAGTGCAGGAGGTTGGTACTGAAGATGGTTCCCGTATCTGCTTAGAGTTTGAAGTTCTGCTGGGATTGTATGATTTACAACAGTACAAGTTGGGACTTTCACGAGAAAACTCGATTTTAGATTTGGTGTTTTGGAATCAACCAAACTTGATGTCAGGTATTACTGTGTGCCGAGGTATTAGCGACCACAGGGCCGTTGCCGTAGAGGCTATCCTACAACGCGTACGGCCATCACAGGTTCCACAAAGAAGTTTTCAGCTATGCCAGAGGAGATCTTGTTGCTATTAGAACTGAACTAGAAAATTTCTCTTTCTACTTTCAAGCATAACTCAAAAGCACGCTGTCTGTTGGTTCTTTCTCAACATTCCGCGACAAAATACTCAGATTGGTCTAAAGTCATGTTTACTGTAGGTACCTGCCCAAACAGAAAACGCATAAACCTTCGTTTAACGCGGAAATACACAAATTATTAGGAAATATAGACGCGAGTTTAAAACATTTTCTGCGAACTCTAGTTTAGCAAGCACTTGGATGATAAATATTTTATATTGAAAATTTAAATATTTTATATCAAATAAATATTTTATAATAAAAGCAACAATAATCTGCGAAGGTTCTTTCTTTGTTAAACTGGGCAAACCATTAAAATACAACCCGAAGTCATTCCGGAAATATGTAAAGCAGAACCGAAAATAAAATATATCTATACCATCTTTATTAGGACAGTCGGGACGTCAAAATACCTGAGAGCAGAATGTTTCAATCATATTTGCAATAAGCGTCCTCGCATGAACTAATGAGCGGGCACCGATTCTAAATAGCACTGCTTTGAGCAATATGATGCGAAACATTGAAATTGATGTTAGTGGTGTCGACTCATTATAGCACCGCTTTGGTGAAACAAAAGCCATATTCCTCAAATAACAAAAGCCAGTAGTCCTCAAATAAAGCCATCAAATATTGATTTATATTTAGGTATCATCTGCGGACTCTCGCTCGAAAGTAGTCTTATTCCCCAAGATTGGAAGACCGCGAATATTACACCCGCTTTCAAATCTGGAGATCAAAAGCTCACAGAAAATTACAGGCTGATCTCACTAATGTCGATATGTTGAAAAATATTTGAACACAATTTACATACCAATATATTTGAAGTCCTTGAACTATACGCTTTTTTTACTCCATCCCAACACAGAATCCGATAAGGTTATTCCTGTAACACACAACTAATGGAGTTTTAGCATTTTGTATCAAAATTCATTGATAACAATGATCGTGTAGGCGCTATTTTTAGAGATTTTCAAAAAGCATTCGAGACTGGGTTCCATACTCTCTTGAATATAAGGCTTGCTGCATTGGGTATAAACACTCGTTCAAACATGGATACGAAATTACTTGAATCGTGACACACTGTCTGTTGCCTTCAATAATGTCAAATCTTCGTCAATAGCGGTAACTTTGAGCGTGGTGGTGGTGGTAAAAAACATTTAATTTAGAAAAAATCTACTAGAGAGTGCCGACGTGGCCCATGGGCGTGCTAGAGTGGCCAGACCCTATTCCGGGATGTCAGTAGAGCTTGAAGCTGCCCGTGCGCGCTCCACCAAGGAGCGTTGCGCAGCCAAGGCAGAGCAGCCGAACAGGTGCTCCTCCCAAGCCTCTCTAGTTGGGATAGAAAAGGGGGATGAGAAAAGAACGGGATTAACTGGGCATGATGCTACGGCGTGATATGTGTCGGCGAGGACATGACAGGTCGAGCAGGTGCCATTGATTTCCGGCAAAAAGTGCTGGCGACCGCCGCACTGATAAAGGTGTTCGTCAGCAGGCGGCGTAGCAGTCGTTCGTCCGCTTTCTCCAAACCGCGTGCGGGGTCCGGGTAGAGGCGGCGCGAAGCCCGGTAATAACACAAAATTTCGTGAAAGCACGTCAGGTTGGTATTGCCAGATTCCGCCTCGGAAATGGAGGGGCAACGGCCCGGACAGGAGAAGCGCGGGCAGTGGCATTTGCCGCCTCGTTGCCGGGCAGGCCAGAGTGGCCTGGGGTCCAGGACTATACGAATGGGATGAGGGTTGAAGCGCGAAGAGGCTGCCTGTAGTAGACTAGCCGCCAGCGGGGCAATGGAACCCTGAAGGTACTGAGAAACAGGCCGAGCGCGAGTCCGTCAGGATGGTGCGTGAGGCAGGGTGAGAGGCGGCCAAAGCTATGGCAACCTCTTCAGCGTGCGTTACTGTGTCTGCTTGAAAGGAGAGGTCATCGACGTGTTTGCCCTCTGCAATCACGGCAGCCGTGAAGTGACCCGAGGGGGAGCGACCCGAGACATCCACGTAGAAACAGCAGGACGATCGGAGTGTCGCGTATGAAGGGCCGCGGCGCGTGCTAGTCACGGCCAGGACGGAGTTCGGGGTTCATATTACGGGGTAGAGGTTCCACCCATAGCTTTTGACGCCAGAGCTCTGGTACCGGCTGCAGAGGGTCTTGGTCAGATATCGGGTTAAAGCCAAGTCCGTGTAGAAGACGGCGCCCTGAAGGGCGTCCGCGACAGTCGATTGATTTGGTTAACGCGATGAGCTTCGCGCATCTCTGCGAAGGTGTTGTGTACCCCCAGGGCCACGAATCGGCTGTTGGAAGTTGAAAATAGGTAGGTCAGAGCGCGTTTGTATACTGAACGAAGAAGGACGTCCAGCTGGTGCTCGTGTCAACGACGCAGGCGAAGGTAAGGCAAGGCGTAGAAGACTCGACTGGTCACAAACGCGTGGGCCAATCGGAGGGACTGAGACCCGCGGAGGCCGCCGCGCTTGGTAGAAACTCGCCGTATCATGCGGCTCACCTGTTCGCTGGTGCGTCTGAGGCCTACTATTGTGCCTTTGGATCCAAGGACGACGTGAGGTTAAGGCCAAGAACCCGAATATTTTGCACTGACGAGACGGGCCCGGTCGAAAGAAAACTTGAGGCGGCGGTAGCGGAGATACTGAAACAAGAGCCGATTTAGCTGGTGAGCACTCCAGGCCGCATGAACCAGCGTAGGTGTCCACCAGAAGGGCAGCCTTTTGCAGGCGTTCTTCATTAAGCTAAGCAGCCGGTGTTGGTCCAGATTGTAATATCGTCCGCGTATAGTGCGTGTTGTAATTCCCTCGACCTCACTTAGAAGAGAGAGTAGGTTCATAATAGCCAGGTTAAAAGCAGAGGAGACAGGACTGCCTCTGAGGTGTACCCCGCGTGCCTAATAAGTTATGGGCCGTGTTCGGTAGAATTAAGGCGAATGAAGGCGGTGCGATGTGATAGAAAGGCG